AATGGTGGCCCGAGAAACACTCTTCTTCTTCTTCTTCTTCTTCCTCTTCTTCTTCTTCCTCCTCCTCCTCCTCCTCCTCCTCCTCCTCCTCCTCCTCCTTCATCGCAAGGATTCTTTACCTGCCTTCCTCCTGCATTTCGCGTCACTAGATCCGCCTCAGAGCACAGAGCGTTCTACTAAATAACGGCTTGAATAACGGTTGTATCCAGAAATAGAAAACGAGCGACCATGGCGTGAAGGCATGAAGTACACCAGGATCGAGGTGATTGGAGGAGGAGGAGGAGGAGAAAGAGGAGAAAGAGGAGAAAGAGGGAGATGAAGAAGAGGAAGAAGAAGAAGAGGAAGAAGAAGAAGAGGAAGAGGAAGAGGAAGAGGAAGAGGAAGAAGAAGGGGAAGGGGAAGGGGAAGGGGAAATGGAAGCTAGGTGTGTGATGTCACGGAGAGCTGGTTGGAAGGGAGTTGGAGCGATTCAATACCTCATTGTCTTTCTGCAGGATAAAACGACTCTCGGCAGGAAGCCCGTCCTTGCCAAGGATCTTGGGTACGGGACTTTTACCATGCCCTTTCCTACTGTGTTTCCTTGTTCCTGCCATCCGCTTTCTTAGCCATCCGCTTTCTTACTCCCGCCTCCTCTTCCTCTTCCTCTTCCTCTTCCTCTTCCTCCCTCGTGCTATTCTCCTTCCTGCCCTGTACTGACCATCACTGCAGACATCAGAAATGGTTTCAGAGATTCGCCTATCGGTTTGCGACTATTGCCGGTAAGAAGTCGGAAACAGTCGACTGAGAGGGAGAGACGGAAGCAGAAGAAGTCAGCAGAGGGCAGGCGAGGAGTGAAGGGGGAACTAGAAGGGCACGAGCAGTAGATGTGATGAGATGGAGAGGGATGGGATAGAGTGAATTGCGATTGTAACGATGAGATCAGGTGTCTTTGCACTTGCGGCTGTTGTCCTTCGTGGAGGTCTTCAGATCCAGCCTGTTCGTCGGTCCAAGATGCCCCACCTATCTTCTTCGCATCGAAACAAGCTCAAGACAGCGACTTCAAGCAAGCATGAAAAGTTGCTCCCTGCTCCTTCTCTCTTTCAGGTGTGTGAGGTGCCGAAGAGTTTGCTGAGGAGAGGGGAGTGGTCGAGCCAAGAGGAAGCGATGGCAGGAGAGGAGGAGGGAGGGGAGGAAGGAAAGGCTGGAGAGGACGGGAGTTCGTTGACAACGATGCGTTGCAGAGTTTTGAGTTTCGTGTACCCAATGGAGTGAAAGCTGGAAGTGAAATCCATGTGCTGCTACCAGGTATCCGATCGCTAATGTTGTGATGAGGTGGGGGTATAGAGAGAAGAGCGGGGATGGTAAAGAGCGAGAGATGGGATAGAGAAGGAGCAGGAGGAGTGTAGAGAGAGAAAGGGGAGAAGTAGGAGCAGCGGCAGCGGCAGCAGCAGCGGCGGCAGCAGCAGCAGGGGAAATCAAAAAGAGGGAGGAGTTGAAATCAGAGGAGGAGGGGGAGGGAAGATGAAGGAGACGTGAAAGAGGGAGGGGGTCGGCAAGCTGCCAGCGTATCTTGTCTTGTAACGTCAAACCGTGCAGGACTCAAGGAACTTCAGACTGTCAAGCTCCCCAGCAAGATCTCAGCTGGGGAGATGCTGAGCATTCAGGTGGGGATCGGCTAGAGGTTGAGAGACTTTAACAGAGCACTCAGATCCCCATGTCAACCCTCGAGGAGGAGGAGAAGGGGAGAAACTCGACGAAAGAGGAGAGTAGAAGAGTGCCTGTTTCAGGAGAGGTAAATGGCATCTGCAACATCTACAATATTGACCGCTGTCTACTTCCTCCTTCCCCTCTCCTCCCCTCTTCTCTCCTCCTGCTCTACCCTCCCCTTTCTCCTCGTCGTTTTCGCCTCGCCTCGCCACTCATCTTCTCTTCTTTCCTTCCTTTCCTCGACTTGTTTTGGCTTTTCTCTCAAACTGAGTGCAGGATCAAGTTGTGGAAGAGGTTGAGGCCGTTGCGGATGATGTGGAGATGACGTGGCATGTAAGGAGATCACGTGGATGATGATGATGAGGAGGAGGAGGTTGAGGAGGAGAAGGAGGAGGAGGAGGAGGAGGAGGATGTTGTTGGTTTTGGAGACTATGATAGTGCAACTTTTGTTGGTTGAAATCGCTTCATGGGACTGAATGCCTACCACAGAAATTCTTTCTGCTCATCGTAGTTATATTTGGTAAGACCTTCATCGTGATGCCCTTGCTCTACCTCACATTCTCTCAAGTTCTGCTCCTCCTCACCCTCCTTCTCCAGTTCTTGCTCCTGCTCCTCCTCCCTCCTCCTGCTCCTCCCCAGCCATGACATGCATTCTCCGTCTCACCTGAATCGGCACAGGCGGTTCTGTTATCATCTTCCAGTCTTTCCGAGGAATCTTTTATGGATTCGAACCTCTGGAGGTCGACGCCAAGAAAGTGAATCCTCCTCCTCTCCTGCTCCCCTCTTTACCCTCCTCCAGATCGTCGACCACCCTTGCCGACACAGCTCTCACAAGATCCGCGACATGGCAGACAAGGAGATGTCGATGGTGGGAAGAGGGAGGAGGGAGGGAAGGGGGGAAGGGAGGGAAGGGAGAGGGTGGAGGGGAACGAGGGGATGTAGAAATGGAGGAAGGGAAATCAAGTCGAGGAAAGGAAGGGTGGAGAAGCTGAATGAGGAGGCAGGAGGCGAGTTGTTGCTAGAAGTGGTTGAGGTTTGGAATGACGATGATCTGACTTGTTGAATGTCACAGCGGACTGCTCTCTACGGAGCAGAAGCTGCTTCACCTACTGAATCTCC